TTGAATTCAGAAATGGATCCGGTAGATGGCGCTGCAGTCGGTGTGTCACTAACCTGTGTGTATGTATGTTTTCTATGGACTCCAACACAGCTGGAGCGATTTTAATGAAATTTCGAGGTAATCTTCAGATTAGCAAAGCTGGTGATCCTGTGAATTTTGGTACTACTTGTATTTAATAAATATTTATAAAAAATCATCATTCATAATAAAAAACGGTATTTTATCGGAACGCCATTCTAAAACCCCTATTAAATTTGTATTCCAGTACGAAAATTCCCTAGATACCTTATTTAGGCGATACCTCACGAAAGCGCCGTGGGTTGAATTTTGCACCTACTAAATCATTATCTACTGACATGTGTACGACGCTGTTATTTATTGATACGCTTTTCCGGAAATAGATACGAAATAGAGTTTAAATTCTAATACTGTGATATACAAGAATGCTACTTAGTTGAAATGAATTGCAAAAAAAATACTAAATCTTTTGAAAAGTTACAAGTAGTTTAATGGTAAAATAATCTATGCAATATGCCAACTAACTAGTTACATATTTTAAGTACTAGCGGCTCAGCCTCACTTCGCTCGGGTTTACCTCTAGGAAAACAAAAACAAACCTACCCCACGGGAACCTACATTTTTCCGGGATAAAAGTCTATGTGTTATTTCAGACTATATATTATATTTTACCTATCTCTGTGCCAAATTTCATTCAGATCCGTTCAGCCTTTCTAGCGTGAAAGAGTAACAAACATCCATACTCACAAACTTTCACATTTATAATATTAGTATAGATATTGCAAGATCTACTGGACCATATGAACTTTCCATTAATTGTCTCGCCCATAAATAGATCACTATAAGTTTCCACTTTCATCTCCCCTATCAGTCCTTTTCCAGGGCAGTTGGCAGGCAATTACATTTACTAGAATTGGTTCGTTAGGTTAGGTTCAAGTATATTATTCATTATAACTCCAGCAAGAATTTTAAAATTATCAATTGGCAAATTATCTGTATCCTACAAATTTACTAAGGTTTTTTTTTATATTTCTTCTCAAAATATAAATAATAATCAATTATTTTATGATTGACGATTATATTAAGTAAAAAAGTACTAAAAATTAATACGGGCGAAGCGCGTCTTTAGGTAATAGTTATAGTAGGCTAAAAACTATATATATATATGTAGTACCGTTTACTTACCATTGGCCGCGGCTCCGCCCGCGTTCAGTGATCAAAAACCAAATTCTTAGGTTTTATATATTAGTATACTCTTATATTGCAGTTTTATTTTCCCGCGGTAAAAAGTATCCTATATGTTGACCCGGATAACCAGCTACCACCATATTATCAAAATCCCTCCAGTGGTTTTTCTGTGATGCGGTAACCGACAGACAGACAGAAATACAGACAGACGGACAGACAGACAAACAAAAATTCTAAAAAACTATATATTCGGCCTCTGTATCGATAATAATGTTCATTTCAATAACATTTTCCAAAAAATATTTAATGTACAGATTCGGCTTGGTTACAATTTTATTATATGTATAGATAGATGATATAATAATATGATAAGCAATAAAGTAAAATATCGATCAATAAGGAAGCTGTATTGTTGAATAAAAACTTTTCTTAAATGGACACGACATCTGGCGCGTCTCATATAACTCATAACTTTCTTGTCACATTAAGCAGACAAGTTGAAAACTATTCTGGCACCAGCTGCCCTGTCGACTCTTCCCAAACGATTTAAGTCTGATATAATATTTCTAACAAATCTATATTGTCTTCGTAACTAACATCTTACACTAAACTTTGTTCTTGTTTATGTTCGTTTCAATTTGCTTCAAAAACATTGCTCAAAACATAGTAAAACTCGCAGCTAATAATAATAATAATATTTATTGCAAAGGTATACACCCAATTTATAATATAATAACATATATGTAGTTATACAAGTCAATTTTTATATCACTTATGCATATATATGCAAGTCAATAAAAACATTATAAAAACAAAATTCAGTCAGACTCTTCATTAAATTAAACTAGAATTAAAAACAATATATCGCTGTTGAGTATATAGGCCATTACTACTAAATCTATAAGAATCTATTTTTTATTAGCTTCCTGATGCACCGAAAGCCAAAACTTAAGAATCGTGCAGTCAAAAGTTTTTACCAACTTGGCAAGGATCTCGTTGTTAGAGACTCTCAAACGATTCCAAAATGAAGCGATTCGTGATCTAATTATCGCGAAAAAATCAGGCACTCGAGCTTTTGCAAACATATCGGAAGCGCTGCAGTATCTGGGCAATTTCATCAGGATACGATATGCGTCATTATATTGTACCCTAATGTTATTAATCGCTCGCCTAGGAAATTTTACCCAAAGCTGACATGTATAAAAACATAAGCAATATGTTTTAAATAATGTCACCTTCACATCATCACTGCACTTCCCAAATCTACGCGCGAGCATATTGCATCTCACAGCTAGCCCCCGGCGTTCTCTCTGTATATCGTCCCTGTCATCAAGTTTGTCAGTTAGAATATGGCCTAGATACCTAAACCGCTCAACCCTCTCTATTAATAACCCTTCTAAATATATGCCCGGAATCGTCTCCGGACCTCTGCCAGCCCGAAATACCATCATAACTGTCTTCTTAACGTTATATTTCAAGCCATGATCAGCAGCATAATGTTCGCAGATTGCTAAGAGTTTACGTAGCCCTCTGATTGAGGGACTAAGAAGTACCATGTCGTCAGCATAACTGAAATTATTCATGCAAGTTGATCCAACATGACAACCAACTCTGGCACTTCTTAATTCCTCAATCAGGTTGTTTATGTAAAGGCTAAATAGGTCCGGAGAGGTCAACCCTCCTTGACGCACACCGCATTCTAGCTTATATTCGCTAGATGTCGCGTCGCCCCATCTCACGCTATTTAATTGGTTCTCATACCAGTATCTCAACAGATTGACAGTCTTTATTGGGACATCAGAAGCATGCAGTTTCTCCCAAAGTAAATTATAATTTACTAGGTCGAAGGCACGACTCAGGTCCAAAAAGCAGGCATATACAGATGTGCCCCTATTAATATAGTGGTTGACCGTTGCCTTCAAGCTGAAAATTGCCGAGTCTGTTGAAAGACCAGAACGAAAACCAAACTGAGCATCACTCAACTTTATATTCTCTTTTACATCCGAATAGATGAGTCTTTCTAGTATCTTTCCTAATATAGTTCCTAACGAAATCGGCCTATAATTTTTGGTACTAGAAAGGTCGCCTGTTTTGTTTTTAGGAATAGGAACTACCACAGTCTTCATGAGTTGCTTCGGTAGGTAACCAACATTCATACATACACTATAAAGGCTGGCTAGTACCCTATATATCTCATCACCAGCATACAATATATGTTCTATACCTAAACCATCTAAACCTGGAGACTTACCTCTCTTCATTTTGCTTACTACCGTAGCCACGTCCTCAGCAGTAAAACATACATTGACAGTCGTGTCACTCTTCTGTATACTACTCACCTGACGAGTCGCCAACGGATCAACCCTGAAGTGGTGTGAAAACAAATCAGCGATTTTCCTCCTATCACTTATACCGTCTACTGCCACAGGAACACTAGTTTTATAATTAAATGAGTTTGTAGTACGCCAAAATCTTATAAAATTCTTTTCAGATTTATGAGTTGCCAACATGTCTAATTTAATTTTTTCTTGATTGTTTTGGCACCACTTCAGCTTGTTCTTAAACCTATTACGGCTTACGATCATGTTATTATACAATTCACCCGCATTTGGCTTATTGTTAAAACTCCACCATGCATAATGCAATTTCGCAATTTGGTGACAGTCTTTTACATGATAGTTCCATCCACAGACTTTCTTAGGCTTTTTCGGTGCATCATTTTGCTTTATTGCGCTATTAATGGCTCCAGTTTGCAATACCTTTACAATTTTATCATAAAATTCATCAATTAAAAACAAATGATCTTTACAATTATAAAATAAACAATTATCACATTGACTAGATAGACTTAAAGAACCTAAATTATCACAGCAGTACTTAGAATATAAACTAATTTGTTCATCTCGCCTTTGGCCCCATCTAATACCATTTAACCAGTTAATGCTCGTCAAAGTAATTTTACTTATTACCACATTCATTTTACACGTAATTACTAAGGGAAAGTGGTCCGACCAATAAACACCATAGTCCACGTGCACCGACTTGACAGTAGCCCTAGCAGCACTTGACACCACACAATGATCAAGCCATCTCCTAGCTCCGTTTGCTTCACTCACGAAGGTATGCGTATCACTTGGCATTAGGTCTTTATCCACACACACTAGAGCGTGCTCCACACAGAATTCCAGTAGTTCTTTTCCAAATCTAGCGCTAGGATGTGCATTAAAATCTCCTAACACATATATAGCCTCCGCACTACTGTCATCAATTAATGCTTCTATGCCGGCCAAACAGTCCGTAAACGCAACTAGGTTTTCTTCCGAATCGGTTGGTAAATATACAGTTAAGATCAAAAATTGACGACAGCCCATATTAATTTGCACCGCCGCCAATCTATCACTCGTACAGTTAATGACTGTGACATCGGAAAACATTGATTTTCTCCATAATAAAGCTAAGCCACCGTATGGGCGTCCTCTCAGGATACCTGATGTCGTATCAATTGATGACTTGGCGAAGCATCCAAAGTCTGCACTGATTTCGTTAATAAAACCAAGGTCATGAGGTAAAAGCCACGTTTCCTGTAAAGCCACAATATCAGAAAATCGACATATAGATCTTATTTGTTCTACAGATCTCTTTACGCTTTTACAGTTAAATGTAACCATTTTCACCAATAATTCATTAGAACTATCCATTAAGTTTTTTATTAAGGACGGTAGGTTGTCTACGTTCACGAAATCTTCGATAAACAAGACCCGCGGGCCAGAAGTTAGTATCCAAAAAGGTATCTATTTTACTCGTCGGTATTGTACTTTAAAAGAATTAAACGACGTTTCATTAAACTGCTGTAGTAACTCCACGTTAGAACATTGTTCACCCATGTCCGTAATATGGTCGATTATATCCGATACAGTGACAGATTTCATCGCACGAGAAACGTAAATCGAACATTGAGATTCTACGACTCGTATCTTTCCCGTAGTTTCACAAGTTCCTCGCAAATTATTAATTTTATATTTACGTTTTTTATTCTTAACTAATGTAAAGTTATCATCGCAATCAAACTGCTCGTTATCGTTCGACTTTGAACTTAGTCCGTTCTTACTAAGCATGCGAATCTCATCTTTCGGTGTCGTTCGCATATGGTCGAATTTAGTACGTCGCGGGCGCAACACTTTGCGTACAATATCCCTATACGTTGGCGTAAATTCTGCTTCAACCGGTTTCGTATTGTTAGTACGTGGTATAGGCATAAGCGGTAGCGTGTTTGAATGCACGGGCGTTAACTGGGACGTACTAGTTTCTTTGCATTTATTTTTCTGGTGTTCAAATGCATTACGCAGCTCATTAATTTCAGCACTCATCTTAGTTTGAAACTCAGATAGTTCCGTCTTCATAATTGTCATATCTTTTAACAATCGAGTTACATCGATATAGTCAAATGAAACCGGTGGCAAGCGATTCAGGTCTTTAGCAACAAAAGTTGGCTGGGCATCAGGGTCGACTTCCTTCAGTAGCTTGATAACGTCCTTAATATTTCGCTTCTTTTTATCTTCTCCTTTTCTATGGACATTTCGTACCTTGTCACCACATATGTTATATAAAACACACTTGCCATCTTCAATTTCAGCATCGGAAAAATTGCTAGCACAAATCTGCACTATACTCAATTCATCTAAGATATCTATTTTATTTTGCACAAATGTTAAAAATTCATTGATAATTACTTGACCCGCCATCTCTTACAACTTCGGCCAACGGATAAACTGATAACGCATAATGCGCGTCCAACGCGGTTTACCTGACGAGACGAACTCTAGCTAAGTTAACAGAAACCATCTAGCAAAATATTAATTTATTAAATAACTTGTATAACTATAAACCATATTTTCATAAGGATGGAGTTTTTAAAATTTTTTATATTAAATCGTGTACAATACTCAATCAGTGAACTTGAATCCAATTTTATATTTTTATTAAAAAAACAGCGATTTACCCGGGAGGAAGAGATACACATATGTTATTGCGAACTTTTCAGTGTCTACCTACAGCTTTGTAGGTCATTATTTTATGTATCTCTTAAGGTTTACACCGCGTTAGCAATGTAAGAGTGCAGAAAGAGCTTGTACCTTGTACCCCGAATAGCAGAATAACTATTAAAACATTGGAAAAATTCACAAAATTAAAAATTTGAAAAAAAAAATCTATTCCATACTAAGCATACCGTACGTATATCCATACTAAGATTATAAATGTGAAAGTGTGTATGTTTATTTGTTTGTTTGTTTGTTTGTCCTTCTTTCACGTCGAAACTCAGTAACGAATTGGCGTGATTTTTTTGTGTGGAGATAGTTGGAGGGCTGGACAGTGACATAGGCTACTTTTTACCGCTGGAGATTATCTAATTCCCACGGGAATACATGTTATAATACAATTCAAAAAAATATTTATTATCAGAATTTCTTGAAACTTGGTATTATTGCTCTTCAATAAAATTAAATAAAAACGTATTTTAGCAATTTTAGAAATTCATCGTATAAGGGGGTAAAATAGGACATAAAATTTTGTATGAAACTACCTTATTTCTGTAGTTTTAGCGTGAGCGAAACCGCGGGTTTTGCTAGTAGATATATAAATGAGCGACTTGCGTTCGAAGTAAATTTTGCATTTTACGATTAAAGTGAGAAAATTTAAAAGTGTTCGAGCTATGTTGTTAAATACGTTAATTTTTAACCCTACTACTACTAATAGTTTTTTTATAATAAATCTCAAAAAATTTCGTATGAAGGACAACTCGACCATACCATTTTTTGTGTTTTTCCGTAGGAATGAGAGATTTTCCTGAAGAAATAGGTACCTATAGTAAATATTGACCCAAATAACTAGTTATTACAACACAAAATGTAGTTAAAAACCGTTCAGTACTTTTTAAGTGATATACACACAGATATACAGACAAATAGACAAACAGGCATACAAACAGACGAAAATTTCAACAACTATTGTTTTAGTATATAATATAAATAATAATAAAAAATAACATGATAAGTTATAAATAAACTTATTATCGCTTCTCTCAGTTAATAATAAACAAAAATAATTTACTGCTTCGTTAAATTTATAAGTGAAAAGTAAAATTTCTTAGCAAATTTAATCGCGATCAATTTTAATAGACTGATGCCTATATAATAAACACTTAAGGAGCTTTTTCATTAGCGGTTCGTTTAATTGGGATCGAACTTCATACTATATTTGCGCCCTTACTGTTTAGAAATGTTTTTATGAGTACTTAAAATTATATTTATTAAACTCATTTGAATAAATAATTGTATAGACCAATATCAATGCTGATATTTTTTGTTTAATTGAATATACATAATATGTACCTGCTGTTGTTTTTGCTTTGAAAATAAAATCAAAATGGCGGCGGTTGGAGATAATACCGTAGAACAATCGTATTATAATAAAAAAAAAAACACTTTTATTTTTAATTTAGTTACGATTTATATTACATTTATTCTGTATTAGAAAGTTTTAATTTGAGAAATCGAAGATTGCCTTTATTGTCTTTTAATGAATTCAAAGTTCAACTCAAAGTTTCTAGTGTCTGAAATCAATATCGGATTGGAATCGCAATGAACTGCTAACATCAAAGCAGCTATAAGTAATTTATATCCCGTTTTCATTAACAGACTGTTTAGTCGATTTTAAAATTGACAGATTTTAATCAAGTTTTGGTTTACGCGATATTAAATTTTTAATATAATATTATTATTTTTCAGGGAACCAAAAATCAAAATAAATCCGCGAAATAATCCGAAAAGATAGTTTTATTTAAAATGTCAAATATTCGTGTAAATCTAAGAAAGTATAATATTATTATATTAAAATAAGTTGTAAAAATTGAGTAAATGCACAAATATTTTTTTTAATAATATTTAAAATAAGATCATGGAAATAATTATAATTTTTTGTCTTTAAAAATGTAGGCAACTTCGTTTTTTCTTATACCTTACTAATAGATATTTAGCTTTAAGTTTCCAGAGATTTAACTAAAGTCGCTACTTCGTCATTGGATTATATCGCGTATAGTTCGTCTCAAGGGCTTTAAGGTTCATGAAGTATGACGAGGGTTGTAATAATTTGAGACACTTTCGTTAGTATACTTATCCCTGGACCCTTTTAGTAAGGAGCGATCGTAAGGCTACATTCTTCGTATGACGTTATAAAAATAGCTGTGAAAAAGCCTTACTTCTGGTTAACATATGGTATTTTACATGAAAATTTAACTGATAAGTGATAGCTGTAAAATATATTTATTTTCGTTGCAATACAAATTGTATATTCATATGTAACTTTTGTAAGTTCATCAGTTTAGTTTCATTAAAATACGTTTAGTAGTTTTTGCGAGAAACAGTAACAAACATTCATCCACACATTCATAAATCATCAATAACTTTCGCTTTTATAATATCAGAAGGACTATTATTATAAATTCTCCCTTCCTAATCATATGCCTTACCTAGCACTTTTCCTCTACTTGAGATGATCGGCATAGAATTGGCTAATATATTTCTAAATATCTTTGTTTTCGCACTTCATATCTCATAGAATCTAATGCCAATATAAATATATTGGCATTTGTTTCTGGTATTCAACGTCAGTTTGTGTAACTGATTAGTGTACATACTGTTTACTATACTCTAGTTATACTTGTTAAACCTACTAAACAAACTACTGCTAAACTGCCTTACGAGAGCCATCCACCTAAAATTAATCCGAACCAAGCCGGTTTCAGTTCCGTCTTGCTGCAATTAGCTTGCTTAAACTTATGTAATTTTCAAAATACTTTACAAACACCTAGACAAAAATGTTTATGATCCTACTTGTTAGGAATAGTTACAAATAGAGTTAACCTAAGACGGTTTCATTGCAACGCCATCATTTTCAAACCAATCCTCTTACGGATCAGAAGTGCCACAAAGTCCTTGCTCTCAATGCAATTCCTATCCCTAACAAAGGTAGCATCCTTGCTTTGCTCTTTTTATAATGTTTTTGTATTGAGCCATTTTTTAACGTCCCACTGCTGGGCACGGGCCTCCCTTCAGTACGAGAAACAGGCCATAGCCCATCATGCTGGCCATGTGCAGGTTGGCGGACTTCACATGTCTTTTGAAAACTTGCTAGGTTCTCTCAGACATGAAGGTTTCCTCACGATGTTTTCCTTCACCGTTAAGACAAGTGGTAATCATGTTGGAAAAGATGCGCACATGAAAATATCAGAGGTGCGAGACCCGGGATTTGAACTCGCTTCACCCGGTTTCCCAAGCGAGCGCGTTACCACTGGGCTACCACCGCCTACTATCTATATAATACTATCTATATAATAAGGTATACTATCTACATATATTAGCCCAAACTTGTCTCGCTTTCTATGTAGGTGACCTAGCTCACACTTTCCAAAGCATCACCTTTAAGGTTTCGAGATTAACCTATCTTGTGCTTGTGATTTTAAGGTCAACTCAACCCTAAAAATGTTTTTACCCTCTCAGGGAAAAAACTTCGAATAATGTGATATATGAATTTTAACTTTAAATGTGAACTTGTTAAAGTTAGGTAACTAACAATAAGTCGCAAATATTTTACGAACTTTACCACCTCTTTTTACCTGTTGCTTGTGTTTTTTTTAATTTAAGAGGATTAATACCAAGTTTTAAGTAAGCAATGATCATAAACAATTTCTTCCGCATATAAACTCTACCACGGGTTCGTTTTACCCCTTTTAAAGATAAATTTCAAAAGACCTGGTAGATGTATTATTAATTTAAAACTAAGTTCTATGTGCCATATGTGCATTTTACATGAAGAATGACAGAGTCCATACAAACTATCAACCCCTCTTTGACCACCTTAAGGGATGAATTTTGAATCCAATAATCGAATCCAATTATCCTTATTCATTAAAATTCCTAACTCCAAATTTCAAACTTCTATCATCAGCATTTTGGGCTGGGTTTTGATAAGATAAGTAAGTCAGTGATTCGCGACATTGCCTTTGATATGCTCATAGTGGAATTTACTAAAAGCAAATATGTTTCGTTCAAAGTAAGGAGTACAAGAAAGTACTCTTTAGGGAAAACCTTCTGTAGCAAATTTGAAACTTCATTTAACTTATTACGATGTGCAACTTGCCACATATTTTGTGACTGTGTAAACGAAATATTTAAGAATCATATTATTTTTATATATTAATATATTATCCTTTGTAATAGTCAATCATCTAGCAAGGAAAAATTAATAATATATAAAAAATAGTCCATTTCCTTAAATTCTATTAACTTTAGTAAATGCCATGTTAGGTATTTTGTCGAACTCTAAAGGGAAATGGGGATATCCCACAGTGTTCTAAACGGTCAATAATTTTCTTTATAACTTTTGAACATAAGCACTGTTCTTACTACATTTCGTAACATTAATACTAGCTTTTTATCAACATGAATATGGTATTAAATTATATTTTAACTTTATTAAATTAAATTTTATAATTGTAAGAATTTTTTTGACCATTTGTACAATACAACGTTTTAAAATTTGCAAAACACTATAAGAGTATTACCTACGTTGAATATAATTCTGTGCCTCCTGTGATGAGTGGTATAAGTCGAGTTGTACCCTTTTTGTGATTTTTACATAGCAATAATCAAAAAAAAATTAGGATTTTTTTGGTCTAACTCACGTT